AGTTCAGAGTAGCTATTGCCGATGGTTTTGGGTGATTCAGTTGGCATCTGGTAGAGTGCAAAAAGCAATCTAAAATATCAAATAGCTTTAAAAGCAACTAGATTTCTCATACTGAGAGAATGTCTAAGTTTTAGTGTTGAGTATGGGTATGATTTTTTTTTTGAATGGATACATTTGTGGGGGGAATATTAGGGAGAGAGAAGAGATTTTTTTATGCTTAAAAACATCAGCACAAAATCAAATGATTGACAGCTGGTAACAATCCCCAAATTGTAAAAAAAAAATTTCAAGCGTCTGCATCTACAATATAGTAGAAAAAAATACTAGAAAAAATATGCATGATTAATCTCTGGTTTCATACTCATAGGTTTCCTTTTTGGTTCATGCTCTAGGTTGCTTTTCTTGTATGAAACTAGCTCTGATTTATAGCTCAGTAGGCAGGCTTTTCCTTAGCATTAGTCAGGATGCCTGTGAATCTGTCACTGAGACAAAATTGTATTTTCTTGAATACAATACACAACTTTTCTGAAAAATTCCCCCCTTCCCTGCAAATTAGAGTGCATGTATTAAGTAGGGAAGTTGGTTTTACTGCCCAGAGTAGAAGCACCCTGCTTTGAGTCCTCCTTCATAGTACAGCAGTTGTGGTATTACTATTCAGGCAGCTGAGGCACACATTTGACTTAATAGCTTATTGGTCTTCACTCCAGAGGTGTTAATGATTGTCTCTCCTTTTTAATGATCTCGATGTCTGTTTTTTGTTTTAATGGTCCATGTTGATGTTTTAATGGTCCACTAGTCAAGCTTTCTTAGGGCAGTTTTGCTGTATACATGCTGCTCTGGGTCTGTCTCCTCCTATTTCACAGTGCTGGAGACTCTTTAGCTCCTTAGAATCATGGAGCCACCAATGGAGTCCAGGCTTCAGCCACAGCTAGGGTTTCAGCTTTAGTTAAGCAGGAAAGGCAAGGTGAGCCAAATGAAAATTAGGCTCTGTCCTTGCTCTATGGAGCCTTAACTCTGGAAAAAAAATCTATTTTTTCTTCATTCAAAAACTATGCGTGTATTATATTTCAGGGCATGTTGTATGCAACAAAATATGGTAGCCTACAAAGAAATCCAAGCATTTTATTGGCAAAGTTTATTTCATAAAGTGTAACATGCCGAAGTGCAACACTGTATATAAATTTGTAGTGGTAGATGTTGTGAGCCATTAACGCGACATTTTTTCCGTTTGTACTTGAGTGTCCCTTTGAATTTTGAGTTATTAGTCATTGAAAATAAAATATCATGGCCTTTGGAAATGCATTACCAAAAGACATGCGTTATATCAATTCAGCGTTGTCAGTTCATTTCACTCAAGGGTTTTGGAAATGGGTTGGTCATGTGTCGGTGCATTACTGCCCAGCACTGGGGCTGGACTGCAAAAAAAACATAAACACTTTGAACCCTGTTGAGAAAAACTCCATAGCTTCACTGCCGCAGATCATCAGTTCTCAGAATATATCCCTCTGTGGAGACCTCCATATTCCTGGAATGGCTATACAGTGTCATCATAAACTGATTATGTTTTCTTTTGGTCACTTCTTTCAAACTATAAGAACTATTAGAAGAAACGTAAGCTTCATCATCAAGATGATAATTTTCAGAAGCCCATGCCTCTTGGAAGCACCACTATAAGATCCCAGTGTGTCAGTTAGAAATTAAATGGTTGATTTCAGAAATCTTAAATATGCTTGACTTAATTCCATATTATTGATTTTGCTTTCAGCCTTTGTTTTGCAATACTTGACTGATTCTGTAACCTAGTGGACTGAATCCTTTCCTTATGGGCAAATCCTACCTTCTAATCTCTTCTCCCAGGTTATTTCTATTTAACAAAGTGCACTGACAAATGTATAATTGGTGCAGCTATATAGCATAATGGTTAAGACACACTCTTGAGAGGTAGGAGATGTGGGTATAATTGAAAAAAAAGTTGGTATTCTGGGAAGGACATCTGTATCTCGTGTTCTAATTTGGAACTTTTAGTTCTAGCAGGGATGACGTAGTGGTATGTGGTGCTACTACCATGGTGGGCATGCCTTAAATAAGCCAACTTTACTTCTAGCTAGGTACAATACACTTAAGCTCTTTTGGAATGTTAAATTCCTGTTTCCTAAGTTCTGCTGTACATTAACTTGTTTTGTATTGCAGGATAAAAGGATAGCACATACTCCATATCATGCATTATTGCCACCAGAAAGGGAGATGTTCAATGCACGCAGGTTTCTGCTTGATTACATAAGTGATCACCTTCGAGAGCGTGTCCTTGAGAAGGAGAAGCAGTGGGATAGAGAAGAACTTCAAAAGTCCAAAAAATGTGAGTTCAACTAAGTCTTTCACCTGCAAGAACATTTCAGTGGAAGTTGCTTAATGATATGTGAGGGTTTATAACGCTGTATTCACACACGGTGGTCTGAGACTACAGCTCTTACTAACATTTGTATTTCTGTAAGACACTTGATGCGGAAATCTTGGCACTTCATGTACAGTAAGTAAGTGCCATTCTCTGTGCATTCAGGTTAAGTCACTTGCTGAGTCCCACTCAAAACTGGCAGAGTTAAGGAGAGAATCTAGGTCAGTCATTCTCAACCTTGTTAGACACAAAGCACCCCTCAGAAAATGTCGCCTCTGAGTTTTAACTTGATTTTTTTTTTACTACAGAAACATAATTGAATACTAACTTTATTGCAGAAAACTCAAAAGCCTGCAACAGGTCAGAATGCTTTTAATACTACTGTGTCCTATTTGAAATGACTTGGTTTAATCTTGTGAATCATGTTTGTGCACTTAGTACTAACATTACATGGCACCCTTAATAATCTCAAGGCACCCCATGGCACCCCAGTTGAGAATCACTGATCTATGTCTCCTGACACCTGTGTCTCAAGCATAGGCTCATCTTGTACAGTCTGTTTAAAATTTGAGAAGTGAATTTAAATGTTAATGTGAAGTTCAGACTAACTTGAAATTTTATTGCCAGCATTAGAGGAGGTCAGATGAGATGATCTGTCTGTTTATTATGGCCTTATAAGCGGTGACCTTCTCTGTACCTCAGTTTCCCCAGTGGAGACATTTTACCATGAAGTTCTTTGATGGAAGATGTTATATGTATAATGCTTCTTAAGGCATTTTAACTTGTAGATATGATATATGGTTTCTTGTTTTTACTGGGAAATAAAAATCAAAATGACATTTCTTATTCCACTGATTCTTGATGTCTGACATTAGTCTCAAAGAAGTCTTATACACTCATATGACTGGCATTCTGAACAGGCTTTAAACATTATTTTTATTTTGCTGCCTTTTCTAAGCCCTCAGTTTCAAGGTGAAAATGTTGATGTATTTACACAGTTGAGACCTAACCCAACCATAAGGTTGAATGTAGTTTTGGTTCTAATGTCTAGTACCTTTTGATCTCAGGCGTTTGTCAGAGAAAAGTGCTAATTTTCTTCTCTATATGTTGGTATAGTGGATTCAGGTATTCATGTCACCTTTGCTAAAAGGAAATGTGGAGACGGGTACCCTTCAGTAACATCACAGGTGGAGGAAGTGAGGTAGGATAAAGATACTGAATATTAATGCCTTATATTTTATAATAAAAAATACTATATTCTGGTTTTGTCTCACTGAACTATTGGCACCATCTCTGGTCTCCCTTATTTTAACTTCCCCTCTTCAATCTATCCAACTTTCAGTAGCTAAAATTATCTTTCACTTCTGCTCTGACCACATCAATCTCTTTTCCCAGCCTTCAAATCCCTCCATTAGTGTTGTGTCTTTCCCTATATAAGGTTCAGACTTCTCACTATGCCTGGCTGTGCCCAGGCAGCTAAGTGAGTTCATAACACCAGCTGTCTTAAGAGAGATTACAGATGCACATGATAAACTTGAGAGGCAGTGTCCATAGACATTTGGATGTAGTGCTCTTCAGCCATAGCAGCAGGAGTTATACAGAGCAAGCATCCTGCATTTTTTACTTCTGTATATGTTTATACTTAGTTGCAACCATCAAAAGATGGTTAGAACTGGTAGCTGTGAATGATGGTTGTAGAACTTGTGGTCTCCATAAAAGTTCTGGGAGAAGTTTGTTTAATCATCTTTTAGACTTTCTGTTTTAAAGAGTGTGAGCCTTAATAAATCATTGAAGGTAAAAAGATTCAGATTAGAGATCAGGCAGACATGTTTAACAACTTACCAAGGGTTATGTTAGATTTTCTGTTGCTGGGAATTTTACATTGTACATGGATTTTTAAAAAAATATATGCTCTAGTTTTAGTGGGAGCCACAAATTAAGCGCTACACTTTTTCTGAATGCCACTCTGATCACTGTCTTCTTCCCTATCTGCTGTCCCCCCCTCCCTCTTTTTGTTTTTTGCTCCCTACCCCATGCTCTCTGCCTGATCTGATACTCTGCTCTTGCCCTGTGCTCCCTGTCTTGTCTGCCCCTGTGGTGCCTATCCCTTCCCTGATCTGCCATGTGCCACACCCAAGCTGCCCATGCTACTTGTTGCACCTGTGTTGCAAGGTGGCCACCCCTGCTCTAGCTCAACTGCAACTATTAGGCACATAGCAGGAATTAGGGAAATTCTGTGGCCTATGGTGTGTAGGAGGTCAGACTAAGGGTTGTGGATGTTTTGGTCTCAAATTCTATACATTCATAGCTTACTCAAAGCCTAGTCTGTCAAAGGCAGCTTGCCTGTCTAACCTCAAGCTTGCCAAATATTTTTATTTAGAACTGAACTGATAAACAGGTTCAATGGGAGTTTTTGGCTTCTGATTGTACACTGGGAACTGAAATTCCTGGGAATATTGGGCCCTGGCTTTGGCACAAATGATTAGACCAAACATAGTAAGAAGCCTGGGGAACCATGGGATCCAGGAGTGAATTACTTAGATGGCCTCAAATGGAGATAATGACTAGGTTTTGGACTTCCAGCACAAAATCCCAGGTGTAGAGATGGGAAGCAAGCTTTTAGTCTGTTTGGACTTCATTAGGCTTATTAACTGTGCAGTAAATACCAGGAAATCCATCCTACAGATTTAGTCTGTGCAAGTTTCTGTATAGACTAGATATGTGGCCCAGGTTAAATAAAATTATTTTTAGCCAATTGATTTTCAGTGAATGAGTTTCTTTTCCTTAAGGCCCAGAAACTATAATAGCAACAACATTCTGTTGCAGCTTTCCAGAAGAGGAAAGATTGGGAGTTGTTTGAAATCTGTTATTGAAAGGCTCCTGTAGAGTCTGGGGGAAAGTCTTAACTGCTGTAGCTCATACGAAATGGGTCCTTACTTATATGATGAATGTTTCTGACAAGTGGCAAGAATGTTGGGAAAATATACTAAAGAATGGGTCAGATCTGACAAAGAAGTCTTGCATTTGAAAGCTTACCTAACTCTACCCCAGCTACACAGTTGGTCCAGTTAAAGTATCACCCAAAGAAATCCATGCCTCTGAAAAAAATAAGTCACTCCAAAGCTCCCACAGTTGCAAAATGTGAAAGAGTTAATTCAACAGGTAAAGAAAATAATTTGCGGGGGAGCGGGGAGAGGTGAAGCTAAGTTCCTAGAGTCTATTGGGTCTGTTCTGGTGCAGCACTGTACATGTAAGCCTTGAATGATACAAGGCTTTGTGGTTAGGATTTTTGAGTTTAGTAGGTTGCTCAAGGTTAGTACAGGCAAATCTGGTCCAGTAAACTAGCTGTATTATTGTATACAAGCAGCGCAGAAGGAAAAGAGCATACAGGCCGTTTACGGAAAAGTATCAGGAAAGCAGAATCGAGTATATAGTCAGTCCTTGGGCCTCACCCAACATTTTGCTGAAGGAAAAGGATGGCAGGACCAGATTCTGGGCAGCCTATAGAAAACAAAATGAAATCTCATTACCTCAGTAAGTAAGCTGATTCCTAGATACTGGAGCAGGTTTTCCACACTGGGTCTTTAAAGTGATTATTTGTACTTGGAAGTGGCTCCAAAGGACAGGGCAAAAACTTGTAGGCTTTGCTTGGCTATGAAGGCGGTTTAAAGTGATGGATTTCAGCTTGTGCAATACAGCAGGTGCATTTTGGACACCTTTTAACAAGAAGTGATATACTTACATGTGGCTTGTGGTAAGGTTAAGGCTTCTAATTTGAACTTGAACCCAGAGAAATATGGATTGAAATGTTAGCACTGTTTGATGTGCAAACATGGTTCATAAGATAAATGCAGCGATTTCAAACAGGAATCCATAGTGTTAAAAGTTGTCTGCTTTTACCTCTCAATAAGGAATTCCTAATTATATAATTGGAAGTGAATCTCTCCTATTCTCTTTTTTGACTTCTGCATATCATCCTTTTTCATCTTTGAACTCTGGGCTCTGGTTATCTTCATTTCTCTCTTTTGAGGGATGAGCTGCACTTGTCTTCTGTGCCACCTCATATTCTGTTTCTTCCTGGGGGTTTTTTAAATCCTTTCTCCAGTACAAGAAAACCTTTTCCTCAACTCTGTTTCTCCTCCCTTGGCTAGTTTCTTCCTCTGTCTTGCTCTCACAGAAGCATGCGACTACAGATCACCCTGCTTGTCTACAAGTCTGTCCTGCCCAAAACGAGTTTATTAAGCAAACCTTGAGTTCTTTTCGCTCCTCAAATCTCTGGCATCATCACCAGTTGCGTAGAGCTCCAGTCTTCAGATTCTTCTGCTCCATGAATTTTACCCAGCAACACTTCATACATGATAAGCTGTCAGGCACCCACTCCAGGGTGATGCACATTTGCAGCTTCTACATCCCCTTGTCCCCTTTTCCCTGTCCTTACCTTTTAAGAAGACAAAAATCTCAGACTCCTACATATGCTTCCATCATGCTTGCTGTCAGTGGTTGTTTTGCTTTTTAAGCTTTTTGTCTAGGTCAGCTCTGCCCCCTCATTTAGGCTAAGCAGTTAACGATCCATCAGTTGTGATCAAAAGCACTGAATTTTGAATATGCTCTTAGATTCAAGGCTTTTGGCCTGCTCGCAGCATACAGGATCAAACAGACTTGGCAAGATATGAACACCAACCCAATGAACCACCATGCCATGGGCAGACAGACAAATTCCTTTACCTCCAACGGACAAGGACTGCTCCTTCCTCCTCTGGGACAGATTCCACGCACAGTCCTCCACTTATTCCTCACTGTTTTCTGGTTCCCTTGGTCCTGGAAAAAAAAGAAAGAAAGTGAAAATTTACTTTACTTGGACAGTTACCAGAGTCCAATGAGATGTGGTGTTAGTATTTGTTCTACCACACCTCCTCTAGCCTTCTCCTATAAAGTGTGGTAACACTGGGATTCTGTGTTGGTAAAAAAAATGAAGGGTGGATGATCGCACACTGTCCCTCATGTTCTTGGAGAGGGGGAGCATGAAGTCTTGCAGGGCACAGGTGCCTTTCCAATAGACACTGCCGGGCAAGGAATATTCCTAACCAACACATGCCAGGGAACTCCAGTTACTGTACTGGCAGATGACTTTCTTCCACAGGTCAGTGGGAAAGAAGCTGTAGAGAAGCTTAGCTTTACCAGAGTGCAAAGAGCCATGGAAAATGCCCCCAGAAATCTTGATGCCCTACGTAAGTGAGTGCTGTGCCAGTGTGGATACTACAGTTCAAGAGTTATTTTTTCCAGAGGGGCTGTTTTCATTAAAGGACTCTTATTCAGGGAAGCTACTTGGGCATAGCTAAATCAAGTTAACTGTGTAACCAAGACAGACCCTGCTGTTGGAATGACCTTGTGGTCTGTTTTCAGCACATTGTTAGGTTATAAAGCTAATGGGGCACTGTAGGACAGAGTCCAAAATTGTGACACTGCAGGGACACCACTCTGGGAGATCTCTAGTTCCAGGTAAATAACCTTTTTTCTTCATTTTCACTAATTAAAGGTGGCTGCAGATTATGCTGTAGCTAGGTGAATTGCTTTTGTAGGGAATACTTCATTTCATGAATTAAGCCCATCATTGGGTTTGCACATTATCCACAAAGCTATTGATTTTGTTTACAAACTTGTTATGCTAATATGTTTCAGCGGAAGGATTGTTTGCAGGCTGTTTGCTACTGCAGCATGGGTGCAGGTACAGTGATTTAGGTCCTCGATCTGGCTTGCTTTATGTGTGCAGTGCAGCCTTGACTGTTTGATCCACAGAGGACATGAGTCTCTTATGGATCCTGGGCTGTTCCTCTTCCTGTAGAAACTTGGGGAGGGTAGCAGGAGGTTTAGCACCAAAACTCCCTGGTTTAACTCTCAGGGTGTTGGCCGGGGTAGAGGTGCATGACTCATTAGAAGAATATTTGGTCAGTTGTCATCTTGCAGCTGTTAGAAGGAGAATGTCTATATGCTCTAATAGCAGCATATACTTTATGAAGTCATTCCAGTGGAAACATAGAACAAATGACATCTCCCTGGTTTTGAGAGGGCTATAAACAGATTATTGTCTCTCTCCTTCCTGGCTAAAACATGCCACACTACTCTAGTGCAGTCGGCTTTAAAAAAGTCTGAATTAAAAACAAACCCATTTAATCATGGGCCCCTCCAAATGTTGAAAGTATTTAAAGCAATTCCCATATCGCTATCTTTTCATGGTGTTTTAACACCTGTATTTATATCTCATATTTTTAAAGCAATGGTTTCCTTACTTGTGGGAAATAGTACAGACGTATGATAGGAAACTCTTGGAACAGAACATTATTTTTTTTAAGCAGGATCCCATGTAAGAAGGTCTGGAAATGCATGAAGTTGGTGAGTCATGACCAGGGATCCTGGTTTTCCCTG